ACCTGGTCCTCGACCGCATCCGCAAGCTGGTGGGTACAAACCCTGAGTGGTGCCAGCGGCACTGGAGCCAGTGGGGTCAGGGGAGCCCTCCGGTGGGACCTGGGTGGCAATGAGGAGCTGGGCTGTGCCTCCAGGGCCCGGGTGCATTTTATGATTCCTGGCACCCTGCACCAGTTTGGGACTCCCTGTGGGGTCTGGATTCCATGAGTGGAGATCAGGATCAGCCCCTTCCCCTCCCCATGCATTGAATCCCCTTCCTCAGGACCCTGCAAACCCACTACAGCTGCAAGCCCAAGACATGCACCCCAAGGGTAGCGTGTGCCTGGGGGTGAGGCGGGGCTTGGGGGAGGCTGGCTTGTTTCTGCCCTTGGGGGAAAAAAAAACCCTTTTCATCCTTTTTTTTAGGGTCATGTGAGGTTTTCTCCTTGATCTGGACTCTGACCCTTCTTGACCAACTGCTTATGAGCAGCTGTGCCGAGTGTTTAACTCGTGCTGGGCAGCTCATGCCCTGGGAGGGGGGTGCGGGTGCCTGGCGGACCTCGATGAGTGCCAGCCTCTTGCCCAGACAGTGCCCCAGGACGGCAGCTCTGGGTGCCCTGACACACTCCCATGAAGCACCGTGGGTCGTGCTGGGCGCAGGGGCTTCCAGGGCCGGCTCCTGTAGCAGGAAGGGGCCGAGTGTCCCCCAGTCCCTGCGGGAAGGGGCCCCTTTCCCAAGGGCCGGTGGTGCTGATGCACGGGGTGCTGGGGCTGGAAGCGGAGCTGGGGCACTTGGCTGGTGCCTGCCCCTGCCTGTGTCCCTGAGATGGGTCCCCAAAGGCCTCAGGTCCTGGGGTGAATATTTGCCTTCCTGGTCAACTTGGTACCATCTTAAACTTCAGAGTCACTGACAGATGGGTCTTGTTTTCTCTTACTTCTTCCAGGCTGACCAGTGCACGGGGCTGCAGGGCTTCCTGGTGTTCCACAGCTTTGGAGGGGGCACCGGCTCTGGCTTCACCTCCCTGCTCATGGAGCGCCTCTCTGTCGACTATGGCAAGAAGTCCAAGCTGGAGTTCTCCATCTACCCAGCCCCACAGGTCTCCACGGCCGTGGTGGAGCCCTACAACTCCATCCTCACCACCCACACCACCCTGGAGCACTCTGACTGTGCCTTCATGGTGGACAACGAGGCCATCTATGACATCTGCCGCCGCAACCTGGACATCGAGAGGCCCACCTACACCAACCTCAACAGGCTGATCGGGCAGATCGTGTCCTCCATCACGGCCTCGCTGCGCTTCGATGGGGCCCTGAATGTCGACCTGACGGAGTTCCAGACCAACCTGGTGCCGTACCCGCGCATCCACTTCCCGCTGGCCACCTACGCCCCCGTCATCTCGGCCGAGAAGGCTTACCACGAGCAGCTCTCGGTGGCGGAGATCACCAACGCCTGCTTCGAGCCGGCCAACCAGATGGTGAAATGCGACCCGCGGCACGGCAAGTACATGGCGTGCTGCCTGCTGTACCGCGGGGACGTGGTGCCCAAGGATGTCAACGCCGCCATCGCCACCATCAAGACCAAGCGCACCATCCAGTTCGTGGACTGGTGCCCCACGGGTTTCAAGGTGGGCATCAACTACCAGCCGCCCACGGTGGTGCCCGGGGGGGACCTGGCCAAGGTGCAGCGCGCGGTGTGCATGCTGAGCAACACCACGGCCATCGCCGAGGCCTGGGCCCGCCTGGACCACAAGTTTGACCTGATGTACGCCAAGCGGGCGTTCGTGCACTGGTACGTGGGGGAGGGCATGGAGGAGGGGGAGTTCTCGGAGGCCCGGGAGGACATGGCTGCCCTGGAGAAGGATTACGAGGAGGTGGGGGTGGATTCAGTGGAAGGGGAAGGAGAGGAGGAAGGGGAGGAATACTAAAACCGACAGCGTGGAGAGTGAAGAGGAGGCGGAGGGATACTAGTGCCTTGTCTGCTCCATGACACTGTGGGGGTGCTCATTAAAATTGATTTTTCCAGTTCTGCCTCGTTTGTTGTCCCAACGTGCTCTGCCTTGCGGTGACCTGGGGGGACATCCCAAGTTGGGGGGAATGTCCTGGCTGTGCTGGCTGCCAGGCCCTGCTGCCAGCTGGCACCGGGGCTGACCTGGGGGGGGCTGTGTGGCACCCGGGGTCCCTTTGCTGGATCCTGTGCTGTGAGCTGGCCCTGCCCTGCTGGGCCACCTGCAGGGAGGTGGGGTGTTCATGTCCCCCCTGCATTGTCCCCAGGGCTCCCTGTCACATAGGTGGGGTGAGGACCCCTGGGAACATCCCCCCAGGGAGTCCCCAGCACCCTGCCCCTGTCCTTGCCTGCCCCAGCCCCGGGTGCGTGGGCAGGATCTGGCCCTGGGCACAGACAGTCTGTACGTGGCGTCGTGCTGCTCCTGGCACGGTGCTGGGCTCTGCGTGGTGCTCTGCAGAGCTGGGGGGGAGGGGGTCCTGGGTGGGAGGGACAC